CAACATATACCGAATTGAACCAAAAACCGTGAATCAAAACGAACCGTGGATTTTGTGAACGTTCCTCCCCTAAACTTCAAGGCTTAGCGAAGGACACACCCAGAACAGAGCCTGGGTCAGACGGCATTACTAGCTACAGTAGCAGCCATTCAAAATGGCCGTCCCAGTCAAACGCCAGTCGAATGACAGCCCACTTCCTGTGACCCCTCCTTCTCCTGGGTGTGCATTTTTTTACTCTGGCTCCACCCTTTCACTGAATTACAGGGTCTGACCAGGAGATGGCGCTTCTCTTTAGATCTTAATGTCCACAAATCATGACGGAAAGAATATTTTAGTACAAAGATTGATGTTTAAAAAAGGAATCTTAGGGGATCAGCCAAGGACCCATCGATTGATCTCAAACCCACCCCAGGAAAGTAGCTAAGGTGACCAGATTTCTGCATGGTGCATCAAAGATCCTAATTTCAGTTCATTGATTTGATGGAGGAGGCAGCTGACAGTAGCATTTCCCTTCAGACACCCCCCGTAAACCTGCCTACTTCTAGTTACTGCCATCACGTCTTCTTCGTCCATCTGGAGAACAGGATCTGGAAGATCCATTATGCAACACATTGTTCTGAAGTTAACTCTCGTATTGTGCTCCATCCTTTCCGCTGGGGAATAGCAAAAACTACACATTCTAATTAAAGAATAAAATCACATCTGCCCCTGCCTTATGGGAACCCTGCGTCCTGGTGTAAATGAATTCCCCTCTTTCCGCCTCTCTCCTCCTCTGCTCTCCTCTCTGTTATTCCGTCCAAATCGATGTGCTGCACCAGCAGCTCCTTAAGGCCTGACATCTGACTGATTGCTCCACACCAAAACCTGCAGCTAAATAAAATAACAGTGGAGCCCAAATGAAGTTTATGCACCTTTACAGAAGCTCTATTAGGTTGTTGTGAAAGGGGCCTGAGTGTAGCTTTAGTCATAGCATCCAGCACACACCATTGTTTCACACATACACTCACTTTTAAATGAATCTCATGCACCGAGCAGCTGAACATTGTTGGAAGGAAGATTATTCATGGAGAATCGACTGCAATTTCACGGCTTTCTGGAAATAATGAGTGTGACATTTATTCAGGCTTAATAATTGGTTAGGATTCCAGACCATCACCTCTAATAAAGTTGTCATTGAGCCTTTAATGCCAGCGGCTCCCGTGACAGCGGGGCAGCGCCGGGGCCTGGATCAGGGCGGTCGGATCACCAGGAGGAGGTTCAGAGCGAGTGGGCGCTCATATGGAAGCCGGATGGAAAAAATGTTTGTCCAAAAATAACTGAAATAATCCCAAACAGGAAACCTGATACTGAAGCAAAGGCTGTTTTTTTGTTCTTTGTTCCTTTGCACATAAATCCATTGAATTACTTTTCCATCTTTGTCAATACTTTCACTTCTTTCCATTTCTTTGTTACCTTTTTCTACCTAATCTATCCCTAAGTTGCCAACTGTCTTTTCTGTAGATTCCCATCAGTTCTTCTTTGTTTTATTGAGCTCTGCAGCCAGATTAATACTCCTCAACTCTTTTTGAAAATCACAATTTCCATATACTCCAGAAACTCAGTCTGGTTGCATATGAAGCTTTTCTTAAGATTCTCTCATCCTCCCATGTGTGCACTAGCCTGACGTAGTCCTACTCAATTCTAGTCAGAATGAGTCTGATGCTGCTCCATAGAGCTGTGATTATGGGGCGTGTTTCGAACGAACCAGGAAAAAAAATGCCTCTGCACTCAATTGGATAGACCTACAACCAATAAGAGCAACGGAGTGCGTGACGTATGTTAAGCGAGGCATAGTTGTTGTCAACAAAAATCAAAGCGTGCAGTTTCACACCTAGAATAAGAAGATTAGACTTGATCGCGTTTCTCTGTTCCTCTTTTAAAATTAATTTGCTGTCGATATCTTCTAGAACAGACCTAATAGCAGAATCTACTCACCTCAACTCTCCAGCGGCAGCCATTGTTGTTGTCACCCAAGCGCGCTTTGGTCACGTGGTTGATTACGTTACTGTTGATCATCTGTCCATCATCGTATAAAGCCCGCCCTGACAATTTGATTGGATCGCCAGAGGGTGGGCGATCATACTCGTGCTACTATGGAGCAATGCCAGACCGAACTTCCCGACCTCAAACGTTGTGGGCGGGACTAAGTTCGGAATGGCACCCAGGCTATGTGTGCCGGGGGTAAAGAAGGAAGTAGCCAATTAGCACATGTCAGCAAAGTGGGAACATTAAGGAAATCGAAGTAATGTGAAAAAACGTAACAGAAAAAGTGAACAGCACAGAGAATACAGTATGATAGTTGGTGTTCAATGAAGCGGGAGTTAAAGTTGCTGAGACGTTCAGATGTAGCTGCTGAGTCGATGGATGCGTGATGGCGCCACCTCTGTTTATGTCTGCTCATTGCACCTGCTGCTGAAATTTTATTAAGGCTCAGAAAGAACGACAGATATATTCTGGCCTTTCTTGTAGAGGCCAGTAACATTTGTAGGGGGAAAAGAGTATAACTATTTGCTCCAGTTAAATAAACGGAGATCGATGGATTTCACTCAGTCGGTACTTTATCTTCTGGATCAGTTCATCATACGGCCCTTATTGCTCGGTAATCAGCCCTGTTCTGATCTGGGCAGCGTTCGTTCCTCCTTACTGACAATAATGGAAAATAGTCAGAGTCAAAACAAATTACAGACACTTTGGTTAAACAGTTACATGTTATGAATAAACCTTAAAAACACCTTTATGCAGGGAAATTGTGTGGCCTTGCAAGTGAAACAGGCTGAGTGAAAACTTATATTGAGTAAATAGCATAAATCAATACATGAAATAAGAGAAACAAAATTTCCGACCACAGTAACACTTTTTTATTTATTTTCAATAATATTGATTATCGTTATTCTTCATAATGTTCATTATCGGGATTTTTGTTTAAAAGACTACAAATTAACACATTTTGTGACTCAGCAATTGTCAGTAGAGCAGGAACATGTCTTTTATAGTTAGCTCTACTGATAAAGTACTTTATAGAACTACTCTGTGCTTCACTTATATATATTTATATATATATATATATATATATATATATATATATATATATATATATATTTATATATAGATCATATTTCTATTATGTAAACCTAGGTTGATCCAAAGCCTTCTAGTGAATCAAAAAGGTCGTTTTCCTCGTCTCTGGTCTTTTCTTTTTATGACAGGTTTTGCCAGTTTCGCTTCTTAACAAGTTCATCCATCTTCCTCTAATGCTCTCTAGTTTGTGGTGAAGAAATGCTGCCATCACCAGGTTTCACCATGGAAACAGTGGCTTAATGTTGATAAAGAAGCCAAACGTGTCCAGAACTCCTTCCTCTGCATGCTTCCTGTACTGGTTTGCTGTGCTGCTTTGGTGTATTTGCATTTGTACCTTTATTTGCTGCTTTGTAAAGCAAAACATGGGGATATTTATTTATTTCATCACGTAGTTAGTTGCACTGGATTAAAATTCAATTATTTAGAGTATTTATATAGCACCAACATGTTATCTCAAGAAACTTTACAGAGACGATTCAACCAGATCTTCCAGTTGGGCTTATCTGGTTAAACTGGATTAAAGGTTCAAAGTTTTGGAAAAGAAAAAAACAGCTGATCTTCTAACAGTAGTAGATCCTCCTGGATGAGCAGTTAGACACAATAGATATCCACTTTTATTATGTTGTTTACAGCAATCCCTCACATAGAGCATGCATGCAGCGATAGTGGAGAGGATAAACTTATTTTTAAGGAAGAAACCTCCGGCACAACCAGGCTCAGTGTAAGCGAGCATCTGCTGAGGCCGACCGGGGATTAAAGAAAATAAAGGCAGATAAATCCCATGACTGTCACATGTGTTCACATGAGACTCATCTTCTACACTATTGCTGCCGTTTTTATTGCTTTTATTGTAATGTCTATACTCTTTATCTATCTTATCTTCTTTTACATGTTCAATGTTAAATATTGAATGTTAACGTTAAATGTCATTTGTTCTTTGTACTGTATTTATTTTTGACCACTTATTGTTACCAGTCTATCACTGTTATCTGTCCTGTCCCGCACTTTATGTCAGTCTGTAAATGTCTTGTCCTGGCATGGTATAGAGAGAAAACGTAATTTCATTTCCCTTGTATGTCTTGTGCATATGAAGAAAGTGACAATAAAAGCTGACTTGACTTGACTACATGGGTCTCATTTTCCACAAATGATCGAGCATTTTGTTCATGTATGTCATGTTCTAGTCAGTTTTTAATCACAGGTGGAACTTGTGATTGCTTATTTGTTCACTACATGTTAAAACTAATTTTCATGTGAATAGATCGGGCTCTGTGTAATGCCTTTTTCACATTAGTCAAAAAACCTTATAGAAAAACCCATTTGTCACATGTTAAGCACATGTGAAACCCATGTTTATCTGTGAATTTAGTGTTTCACAGAAGAAAATGTGAATCAAATCAGCTTCAGATGGGAATCTTCACATGTGGAACCAAATGTACATGTGATTTTTGTAAATCCTGTGTGTTTTTAACCTGAATGTAATGTGGATTCGCATGTAAATCACATGCGTGACACGTTACATGGCTTCACATGTCATTTTCAAATGCCGAATTAATGCTAGTTTTATTTTAAATGCAGATGCACAAAAGGTGCAAAGCATTTAAGTCAGTTAAAGGAAGTAAAAACAGATTTGTTGATATTTTTTGTGTTGATAGATCTGTGAGCTGGGAACCCTTCCTGCGTTTGTATAAATGTTCTAAAATCATCTTTTTCAGTATCTGTGTTCAAACTAAAGCAAAGACACCTTAAAGAAAAACAGGAAACTGTTTGCTGATATTATTTCTGTAGGTATATTAGAAATCGTCTGAATTCCTCTGAGCTAGACGGCTCAGGGCATGTTTGGTTTTTTGCTCACCGCCCTGCATTATGTCTGTGTGTCTCAGGTGGTGGTGACATTTGCAGTGGGCTCTGAGGTCGGCCTGCAGAGCAGCAGTGACTTCAGTCAGATGGGGAAACCTTTCCTAATGGGCACCGTGGCTCTAGGTGAGGCTCAGCTTTGTTCAGGATCACTCCTTTTCTTTCTAACCGCTTCCTTTCTGCCTCTACCCCCCCATCCTCATTTTTTCCTCTCTCTCTTTTTTTTGGTTACTAAATACTAAAGGCTGAGAGGAATCCAACCCCGCAGTGAAAAATCCCTTGAAGATTACTGGAATAGCAGACATAAAGACACACTGGAGGAATTTTGTGCAGATATTTGCAGATTCTTTCAGTGCCCAGCAACTAACAGGTGTTTGGCTTCTGGGAATGATGGTGCATGTTTTGGTGACAAGAAGGGTAGCAAGGCAAGAAAATCCTACCCAAAAGAACAAACAGATGGAAAATCTGCAGGAAATAAAAAAGGACCGGAAAAAGAAAAATATATTTTTCAATCATATATCCTTATAATTGTTTCATTCACATAAGAACATGGCAGCCGGGTAATAATGGCTGCGTCATTTCCAAAGGGTCCTCATATGACCCTCCAGAACACTGCAGACATGAATCACTGTGGGTTGGAGGGGGAGTGTTGGTCCCAGAAGTTCAAAGTTCAAGTCCCGCTCCCACAGACTTCCACTCTGCATCGCTGAGCAAAGACCCTTCACCCCACACTGCTCCCTGGGTGCCGCACAATGGCAGCCCACTACTCCCCAAGGGGAGGGGGAGCAGTGGAGCAGATGGGGAGAGTGAATTACGTTGCTCTGCACTTGTGACAGTGTAAGTAGCTGGAAAAAACAAACAAAAGAAACACGAAGCACGATCACTGACAGTAGGAACAGGCAGGTCATCTGTCCAAGGCCAGACTCAGACTGGTAATCTTAGACTTAGACTTCTTTATTTGTCATTTTGTATGCACAGAGTGCATACAGAACGAAATTGCGTTACATACAGCTTATGAACGTTGCATTGATATTTCAAATGGCACAAGTTATACAAAAAGTGCAGCAGTGGTCAAAGTGTAAACAGTGCAGAGGATAAAGACAGTGTGCAAATTGCAATGGTTCAGTGCAGATAGGCATTTGTGCAAAAAATGGGTTATTGAAAATAGAAATGAGATGAACAATTAAAGGGCTAAAAGTTAAAAGTTCAGCAGCATTGATGCCCGATAATGTGCAATAGGTGCAGAGTTCGGTTTGTGGATCAAAGGTTCAACAGTCTGATGGCAGTGGGGAAGAAGCCGATGCAGAACCTGGTGGATCTGCAGCGGATGCTGTGATATTGAGCCCAGTGGACTGGTCCTAATTTCAGATTGCGAGGGCCAGCCCTCCTTAAATTAAACCGGCCCCGACACTCCCTCTCCGGCTGAAGCTCCTACCTGTGACAGTAAATAACTAAAGGAGCTGAAGCAGTAATCCAATGTTAACTCCCTAAATGATGCATGCAGTATATTTAGCCCTTCCCTCATGCTCATCCTGGTGACGGTTGGCATATGCTGTCATTTCCTATTTCTCCAAACTGTTAAACCCTTGAAATAAACTAAATTATAATAAAACTAAAATGCTTTCTTTAAACCAAACTACGATGCTCCTCTTATATTTGGCAAATTTATGTTTGAATATTTTGCAAAAATATGTTGCGGTCCATGATGGGGTTTAGCATCTTAAGACGTTTCCCGTCTTACATGCATTGTTGCCAGGTTGGGATGTTTCCCAGTCTGGCAGTTTAGGACGGCCGTCTGTGGGTGAAAAATGTTTTCCTTTAGATTAATGGTCTGAGAGATCAGTAGACTTTGGTTCAGATTGGGCGAGATTTCGAATATCCAGGTGGTTTATGAACATTTTTGGGTTGGAAAACGTGAGTCTGTGACATCTGGCAACCCTGTTGATGTTACGCTGCAGCACGTCCATGTTAATAACCAAAGGCTGTAAAACCGCTTTAGTCTTGGTGATGGTTGTCATGTGATGCTTGAAGATAGATCGGATAATCATTTTTTTCTGGGAAATTTAAAACATTTTTTTTACAAAACATAGTTGCAGACAAAAATCATACGCTTTGATATCTAAGTGAAATAAAGTATTATCTTATTTCCATTTTTCTAAACTGTGCGCCTGCAGTATTGGGTAGGTGCACCTCCACCCCCAATTTCCCACTAAATGGCACGAGTTGATTAACAGAACCGTAATTTTCCTTTCCGCCTTGGAACAAGTGGTGGCTTCATCACTTTTATTATGAAAGGGTTTTGATAAAGAGCCCGCCTCCAGCCGCAGGAACACCTCACCTTTGGTTTCCTGTCACCTGCAGTCAGCCTGTCCTCTGAGCAGCCTCTCATCAGCGTCTGTTAGTGCCCTTATTGCACTTACAAAACTCAGATTTTAAAAGACATCCAAATACATTGCGAATTTATTTTGTCTTCCGTTAATCAAAATCATTCTCTCTATAAGAAATTAAGTCACATTGGTTTGGATTTATACGCTGATCTGCAGCTGACTCATTATGAGCTTTAAATTTCTCATCTCTACATTGACTGATCAATAAAATCTTTAATATATATCTATATGACATATAGGACAAGGCTGTCAGCTGGTCATAAAGGAAAAGAAGCATCAAGTTTTCCAACAATTCCAGAACAGTTTGGTGACGATCTGTGTTTATGATTAAGCTGAACAGTTTTACGATGCAGTGTGAATTTGATATGTTTAGGCTAAATGCTATTCTGCTAAAAGTTATCTAAAAACAGGTCATATTTTCTAGGAGTGTATTTGCAATTACTTTCAGCTGGTTGGTAAAATGATCTGCCAGTAGAATAAGATTGTTTAGCTTAGAATAAGAAAAATAAATCTGTATTATCTCATTTCAGGTGCCGTGTAAATAATTATCTTATTTTAGGGGCATTTAATCTCAATAAATTGGCAGATAATTTGAATTTCCTATTAAATGGATGGGAAAATAAGGTTATGTTTAGAAATTCCTTCTCATTTTTAGATCAAATTTAGATTATTACTGAGTAAACAGTTTTCTTTCTTGTTTCTATGAGTAAACAGTTTTAATATCAGGTATCCACAAACCTAATTTAATACAGTATTATTGGAAAGTTCATTTATTTTAGTAAGTCCATTCACCAAGTGAAACGTATAAAGATTAATTAGGCACAGAAGGTTTTCATGTCTTTATTTCTGTTATGATGATTTTCTGCCCACAGCTAAAGAAAACATTTAGGATCACAGCGTGACATCAGACTCATAAAGGAACAAGTTTAACACAGAAGAGCTTTTTAAACAAGGTGGTTAATATCTGCTTCAAGGCTGTGAGTTTCAAAAGGTGTAAGAATGATTGTATTCATCAGCTGTAGTGCCTCTTCACTGTGTATTCACCTCTGATGGAGTAAAAAACACTAAGATGAATAATTCCACTTTACAATTTCAATTTTGATCTCTTTAAAGGAAAAGTATTCAGAATTCAAACTTCTGAAAGTTCTTTAAATCTGAAATGATTCCATCCTGTTCAATAAATGATCAGTGTTTTTAATTCAGAGTAATTTTCATGTGAATGTGCTTTACTGGAGGCATCCATGTTTGTCAAAGAACACTACTGCCACCTACTGGTTAGTGACATGTCACGGTGCGGTATCGGCTGTTGATCAAGTCCCAGTGCTGTATCTGGTGTTTGTCACAACGTGCTATTATCCAAGTCATCTTGAAAACATTCTTCTTCCAAATGTTGGCTACATATTACGGGTTTTTTCTCTGGCCAGAAGTTCGATGGCAAATCCTCCCTCTTCAAGTTGGCGATCCAACGACCAACCCGTCCGTGGAGGATCAGGAATCAGAAAGGTGGAATAACTCTTTTTTTCACTTTTACCCGATGTATTCCAGCATCCAGCTGCCATGCACGTGGGCATTGTCAGTTTCACTATAGCTCTGGTGAATTTCAATGGTGAAGTCCTCTGGAAATCTTCAATAATTGTTGTTGATTGCAGATGTGTCTAGTAGTTCCCATTGATTTAGCTTGGAAAGCGGGGAGAATGGCGCTAGGCTTACCGCACCGTGACGTCACTGCTGGAAGATGGCAGGAGGGAGGGGCTACTATATTTGGGCAAAAATGGCCGCTCCCAGACTCAGTGATCATGATGACAATTTTTTCTCTCTCAAAGGTCTATAGTCAGCCAAAACAAAGGCTGTCGTCTTCATCTGTCATCTTCAACAACTGAGGACGTATTTACTGTTTGACAAGCTTACTCTGATAACGCATCTCTATTACATTTAGGGAGCTATTACCGGCAATAACTTGACAGAAGCCTTATCAAGAAAACCCCAAGCTAACTGTTAAACGGAGCACTGCACAGCAAAGGTGCTCCATTTAAATACGCATTACCGGTGTCTGTCATGAAAATGTTGGCAGTGTTTAGAAATGCCAGCGTTAGAAGCAGATCTATATTCTACAGGGAATACACCTCAGAAGCTGCTATCTTGGTGACAAATGTTAACCATTTCATAGATGTGCTTGTTTTAGATCTTAAATGACAAGTAAGTCACCATTTTTTTCTTTGTTTTGAAATAATAACAGCCAGATCTCCACTGCCTGCTCTCACACACACAGGCGGCGTCACATGGCCTCTGCTCCTTATTGTTATATTTAACAAACGCTTATGACAGAAAGCTGGTAGAAAAAACAGGTTTTCAATGAAGCAAAATCTTTCTCTATGATGGTTGTTAAAGAAAAATTGAAAGAGGCCATATTCAATATTGTTAGGTCAAAGCTTATTTTCCACCAAAATAACACAAATAGATCAGACTGTATAGATGACTGAGGAATTAACCTCTGGCTTCGTTTTTGTCTCAACAGGGGGGATTGTGAATGTGATGCCTCTTCTTTTTTCTCACATCTCACACAACAAAACACAGGTACTTGTTCCCTAGACTTTAACCCCTTTTGTTGTTCTGTTGTGTCTTCTGATATTCTTATACCTTGAATTTCTAAAACCAGATGGTGAAACTCAAAGACTTTCAGTTCTTCCAGCTCCTGGTAAAGATTGACTTTCCTGCTGTAACACTTCAGACATTTTAGGACATTTAATTGGTCAGTTCAGAAGAGCAGCTGATTAGGTTCCACCTTTAGCCTCAGGGTCTTGTTTTAATGAGAATATAATGTAGTTTTTGTCATATTCTTACCTGGAACCAGAGTTTATTAAGGTAGAGTGCATAAAAGATGTAATAACCTCCCAGGAAAGATTTTATGTCATTGGGGGGGTGTTATACATTTGGAACTATTTTAAAAAAGAAAATTCAGCTATTTGCAGCACATCAGGATCCATCCATCTTCTCCCAATAGTCCTGTCAGGGTTGCGGTGAGGCCACTTCTCATCTCCAGCAATCTATGGGCGAGAGGCGAGGTCAGGCTTTTAGCTAGCTATTCGTACGCCCTTTACTAGAAGAACATTTTAAACCCTATTTTTGCCTGGAAACTTCTCTCAAATTATCTAAATTTCTCAAGCAGCAGCTGCTGAAGTTGGAAAAATGTACCTTTAGCTGCTGGACGCGCCACATCAACCAATCAGAGAAGCTGATCTGGGAGCTGGCAGGGAGTCAGACGCAGCACTGCTGATGCAGAGCGCTATGATCACTCCTCTGAAACAGTTTATTAACGCCTAAATTAACTTCAAATGTAGAAACCTGCCGGCAGAATATGTTGGCTTTTATTATCCTGCTGCCTGCAGTCTGTAGCACAGACCTGAAAAACGCTAACATCTACTTCCAGCCGCCACCAACAGGAGGGGAAAACCCCAGAGAGGCTCTCGGGCCTGAGGCAGCTGCTGCTGGGGATTCCCAGTGACAGCGCAGCGCCGGTATGTGGGGGTCTGAGCGGCTCCCACAGAGAAATAATCTTTGAAGGCAGGATGGTAATCTGGATGAACTGACTGCACAGACCATGTTTTCAGGAGGACTTTCTCACTTCAACATAGATTCTAACTACTTTCTACCCGCTGATCACAGCTAAGATAGCAAAGCTGCTCTCTGGCATTGAACACAGGAGCAGCAGAAGCGACAGATGCATCTCAACACACTTCTTTGATGCTCGTGAAGCGCGTCTGACCTTGATTTGGACAAGCATCAAAAATGAAGCCGCAGACACTTTTTTGCTGCTGAAATGGCGTGCTGTGTGAACATAGCATTACCCTTTCTGATTCTTTGAATTTAACATAATATTGTAGCTAAAAATGATCTCATGTCTTCTTTATGACATTTCCACCTCAAGTTAAGCACACATATTTCCCATAATCAGGACAAAATTAGTGTTGGAACAAAGAGAAAAAGTTAGCTCCACCTCAAATTGCTGGAAATAGAGTTTCAGGGAGTCTACATTTCAACATTTTTCAGGGAAGGATAGCACCCCCTACAGCCTAAAGACGTCATACACCGAGGTGTACCCCCAATGAAATATTCCTAGTATTCCCGGTCATGTTTTTGGACTGTGGGAGGAAGCCGGAGTACCCAGAGAGAACCCACGCATGCACAGGGAGTAGGGGTGTAAATAATAATCGTTTTGTATCGATGCATCGATCCAAAAGCCGACGATCCGATGCATCGACACGTCCGCAAGATAATCGATTCATGTTTTTTTTTTTCCTCCGGTCTATTTTTATCCATTTGCTCCTGGACGTAATTCTCCCTCCCGTGCTGCGGTGGCGCTAAACCTATTTTGCCCTCCTACCTCGCTTCCTGGTTATACTCTTACAGCAGTGTGTTGCAGTGAGCTTGATGCAGACATTTTTTAATTATGCTCAGTATTGAAGCGTGGTCTGAGCTACACGCTGTGGGTCTAGATACGGCCGAGGCAGCGAGGAAGTGGGGGCGAGTTTAGTCCGACGACGGAGGGACATGAGGGCCAAAAAGAGCGGAGATCCAGGTGGAAAAAGGGTCCCAGCGTTCTCGCGCACCTCGCTCTTCTAACGGGTCAAACTTCACGAGTTGTTTTCCGCAATTTCGGTCATAAAAACAAAACAAGCCGGCCTCCTGTCTGCTGCACTGTTTGCGGTCAGCTACAATCTGGGAGAGGAGCAGCGGAGCGTCTCTCAAGGTGACGTCGACACTCTGGAGCCTTCTTCTTCTTCTTTTTTTTAATGGCGGTTGGCAAACAACTTATAGGTGCATTACCGCCACCTTCCAGAATGGAGTATGGACCAGACAAACTATTATATTCTCCCTAAAATACCCGTTCTTCTTAGAAAATTAAAAATACTCCCAAAAACTACATCCCCAGATGACCTTTGAAACAATTCCCTTATTTGTAGTTTATTTTTATTCCTGTCTAACTCTCTACGCAACATCTCTCTTTCCTGAGTATATTTATTACATTCTAAAAAAATATGTTGGACAGTTTCTCTGGAGCCGAGGTATTGCATTGAACTCATTATACTGATATTGCGCAGTATTTTTGCAGTATTTTTTGATGCAACTTTTCTACTTCTGTTATTTGCTGTTGTTTCTAAAGAAAATGCATAACGATATTACAGCTTTCATTGATTTATTTCAAACTTGAAACTTTGTTTAGCCTGTAAGGTGTAAAAAAATAAAATAAAAAAATAAAAAAATTAACCGATTAATCGAATCAAATCATGGTGTATTCTTGAGTATCGAAAATAATCGTATCGTTGGGTCAGGAAATCGATACTGAATCGAATCGCCATGATGGATGTGATTTACACCCCTAACAGGGAGAACATGCAAACTCTATGCAGAAAGACCCTGGGCCAGGAATCAAATCCAGAACCTTCTGGCTGCATGGCAACTGTGCTACCCACTGCTCCACCGTGCATCGTGCTCCACCCATCAGGATTCATGCATCACCTAAATTTCTACACAATTATTCTGAAATAGTTTTTTTGAGATTTTACATTATTCAACCTTTCCTCTACCTGCTACTGAAAAACATCCCCATCACATGATGCTGCCATCACCATGCTTCACTGTAGGGACGGTATTGGCCTTGTGCCAAGTTGGTCCTATTTTCCCTCTAAACATGGTGTCTGGCATTGACAACAAACAGTTTAATTTTTGTCTGGCCTTACCTGAGAACTTTGCTCCCCCTGATCTAAGAGTCCTTCAGGCTCCTTTCACTGAACACCAGACAGCTGATTGGTTGATTGATGGTAAGCTGGTTGTCCTTCTGGAATGTTCTGACACTGAATCTCTGACAGGTTAGACTCTTGGTCACCTCTGTAGGTAAGACCTTTCTCCCCTGATCGTTCAGTTTAGACAGTATGTGCCTCAAGACCATCTTCTGTTTAAAAGGCCAAGCGCCAATTCATCAGACTTCATGATTGCTAAATGTCCCCTGGCGAGGTAACACTACCTTATAGTATATATATATATATATATATATATATATATATATATATATATATATATATATATATATATATATATATATATATATATATATATATATATATATATATATATATATATATATATATATACCAGTGTTTGTCTCTCCTAATGCAATTTGATCAGCTGAAATTTACAACAGGAGGATCGATTAACGCTGTAGAAAGATCTAAAAAATGATCAGCAGAAACAGGATGAATCTCATCTCAAATTTAACTTCATGTCAAATTAATCAGGTTTTTATTTTTTTTATTTCTTATATCAAAAGCTTTGATCAAGCAGCTTTCTGCATCATTTCCCTTCTAGGTCTTTCAAAAATCAACACTGCCTGGAATCCGGCGTCTGCTCATCAGATAGGAATGGCTTTCATTCAGAGTTCCTCCAACCCAACAAAATATTTATCCAGATGAATAAGTGAGTCTGTGTTGTTGAAGTAGAAGCTCTCATGTCTGTAATAACTCAGATATAATACCGCATCCAGTCATGTGAAAAAAAGTAATATTCAGTTAGTTTTAAAGAAAGGAATCCCCCAGAAATGAAAAGGGGCAGACAGCTTGAGGTGGGATGGGGGGGCTGAGATTGGCTGGTGGACAGTAGCAGTTTAGCCCAGGTCTAGCCCTAAACACCACCCGACACCCCACGTAAGGTGTCGGCCCCAACAGCATCCCCTCAGGAACCGCAGACCCACCCCCACAGACGCCAGGGCAGGTACCCAACCCGCCTACCGTTCCCACGCCCCCCTCAAGTGTATGGTTTTCTCAAACAAGGAGAAAATGAGGATCTCCTATGGAGATTAGTTTAATTTTAGCGGAGCAAAGAGATCCACAGACATCATTTCAGGAGTTTTATGTTTATTTTGATCTTGAAAAGACACAAGATCCTCCTTTCATGTCTCTGACTAAACATCTGCATTTCTGATGCTGAAATTACTCAATGCCAGCAGCAGAATTAAATGCCGTGCTTTAATTAGATATATCTCTGTTGTAGAGGATCTATCTCGCAGGGTTCGTACGGGTGCTGGAAATCCTTGAAAATGCTTGCATTTTGACGTTGTGTTTTCAAGCTTTGAAAAGTGCTTTTATTTTGGATGAAATGCTTGAAAATGCTTGAAATTGTAACTATTTCTTTCGCAACAAATACCTATCTAACTGTGTTTATTAAATGGAGAAATAAAATGTTGCAGAGCCTGAAAATGAAACCTGCTCGCTTATGTGTGACTGCGATCTGCCAGTCTATTTCCATGTGTGACTCCGCCCCCATGAAACCACTACTGCACCATGCCGGGAGGTTGTCGTTTCAATGAACGTTGGCTGGAAGATGAAAAACACAAATTATAGATTAAACGGGGACAAACCCCACGAGTTGCCTCTTGTAAAGTCTGCAGAAAAGATGTGCAGCTTTTCACAATGGGCGAGTCTGCGCTGTCGAGTCACATGAAGGGTAAGTCATAGACTTTTAAGTAAGCCAACTGAAGTAGCCTAGCCTATTCGTTGCTGCATTTCGTCTAATAAATGATAGGATTAGCCATTGAAAGAAGGACAGTGATTGGCTTAGAGGCTACCCAGGGTTACTCTGACTAATAGTTAAGGTGGAGGAACATAAAAAGAGTCAAGGACACTAAGAGGACCTCCTGAGATTCCTTGATGGTGGCAGCATCTGGCTGACCATGGATGGCTCAGCCACAGATTCATTAGAGGTGATTCTGTGACGTTTTCCAACCTGAAGTCATAACTTCTGCTCTGTGGATTAATGTAGAGACAGCCTTTGATAGCCTCCGCCGTCGTTCTTCATTGAAAATGGGACAGCCAATGGCTGCTGAATGTTTGCTCACATTTCTAAGAAACAGCTCATCTTTTCCATGAGTGACACTGAACCATTTTCCTGGAAATAAACTTCTCTCTTGTGTTTGTAAACCTGCATCAGTGTAACTGCATCATTTCTCACAATATATGTGACATATTTCCCTGTTTTCTTTCCAGATCCTTTGGTTTCGGAGAGCAGTTCTTGGAGGCCTGGCTACCTGTACAGTCCTCAACATTCTCTGGTAAAAGGACAACAGTAGAAATCTATCTAGTTGTTATTCAAACACAGATGCAACTTCTAATCACAACATTTTGGTTGCAATGTGTTAAAATACTAGAAATGTGTTAAAAACACTGAAATAAGTGGATGAAATGTGGTTGAGTGCAAGGACTGTGCGATCTGTGTTGCGAACTGAAAGCACAGAAACAGGTAGTGCTAAAGAAAAGCTTCTTCCTGCAGTTTTTCAGCTTTCCTCAGGATCAGCCAACCACCAAACAGCCCGAGTGTTTAACAACTAAACATCTACAGCTACAGTGTATTTGTGCAAAGATGGAGGAGTTTAAAGGTCATGTTAGATGTTTTTTTTTTCCGTTTCTTTCAATGCACGTAGGTCATTCTGGTTGCATATATATATATATATATATATTATTATTTTTTTTTTTTTTTTTCTGCTGGTGAATTATTTGCTATTTCGGGGTTTTACACTTTGATCCGGGTTGATTTGTTGGTAAATAAAGCTGTTTTAATATACATTTAGAATAAAAACAATTGTCGTTGAATGCAGGGGGAAACAATGGATTAGCCTACTGTGGCTAAGCCAGTTAGCACCACCCAGCGAAGCGTGGCGATAACGAAGTAAAGTGCATGATCTGATGTCAAAAAAAAACAAAACATATTTGATTTCAATAGAGGAAATGCTGGGACAGCGCTGTGAATACAGTCTGAATGTTCACTGAAGCAGGAGCTACAGTTACCAAAGCATCCAAATTTATGGATGTGTGAGTAAATGTCCTTATTAATACTGATACTAGTGATAGTAATGCTAACCTTAGTCTCTACAGTCTAAATAACTAAAATATTATAAATAAATAGACTGATTATTGGTTCTTACCCAGATGCTGTGTCCTTATTTACCGTTTTAGATTTGGGAATTTTCTCTTTCCTTAAAGTTCTGCTACGAGGTTCTGGGAAAGATTTATCAGAAATTAGAGTTGCTGTAGATCGGTTTATTATATTAATATCAGTTGGTCTTTAGCTGCTGCTTCACTGTTGGGAAGCTGAGGCATTTATTGCAAGAAATAAGTTTCAAATGTCTTTAATGTCCTCGGGCGGAGAGATAGAGCTCTGACTGCGGCGAGCTCAGTAAATTTATACATTGGAAAGTCAGACACACTCCCTCCAGGGGAACCAACCCACCCCCTGCATAAAGAACTTTCTCACCATTGATTGTTTGGAGGAAAAACAACTAGAGTTCATCCCTGTTAGGTTTGGTATGTTTACGCCTCTTTTGGGAGGTGGTCCAGGTATGTCCCACAGAGAGGAGGCCCAGGGGACAAGCCCTGGTCCTCTGGACGTACTATGTCTCTCCACTGTCCTGGGAGCGCAGTGGGCTTCCCCCACAGAGCTGGAGGAGATGTCTGTGGAGAGGGAAGCCTGGGAGTCTCTACTGAGACTGCCGCCCCCACGACCCGGTCCCGGATGAAGCGACAAATAAACAAGTTACTTTTAGACTTTATTGTCTGTCTAGAGCGACATCGTGCTTCGATCTGAACTCTTCCTTGGCTCTGTGTTTAGGGCGGGTGGACTCCTCCTAGTCTTCTCTCTCTCAACCTATCAGCTCCTTTTATTCCCAGGATGCCTTGTTTTTAGCTCCATTAATGGTCCCAGCTTCACATCAGATTAACATCCAGTTTTAGTTTTTCATGTTGGTCTGACCTGAAGCCTTTAAACCAAACCTCTGATTTCTCTTTTAAGAAAAATTATTTTTTTTCTCAATAATCCCTTAAACCCCTTATCTACACAGTCCCCTTTACATACTAACAGATGTGTAAAATTCAAATAAGATACATTATTTTCCATGATTTTAGGTTTGTAAATAGTTTTGTAAGAAAAGTCTAAAAACCAGGCTGACGATAGTCAGCAAGGAGACCCTGGGCAGACGTTCAGATGAAGCCTACGTTAAAAGCAGCAGTGAGCTCGGTGGTTTGAAGTGAAACAAGGCCATCTGGCAAAATAAGCGTCCACAAAGGACTCTAAATGCAGTGGAGAGCAAAAACCATCTTCAATCTCCTGAACCCCACTTTGCTGCTGTGGAGTCGGATGCATTTAGGGAGAGTATTTATCCGCCTGTCTTCTGCTCTCCACACAAAGAAAATCAGCTTCTGCAGGATGGATTTATGAATCATGCTGCACCTTCAACTTAACCAGACATTTAAATGCACTGTAGAAAAAAGACGTTAAACCTTCCAGTCATCAAATATAAACATTAACAGCTTGTTCTTTATATCTACTAACTTAATGCATGTTCACATTTAAAATCAGAACATTATAAATCTAATCCTGACTGATTCAGAACAGAAATTACTTAATCAGATTATAAAGATTGTTTCATTTGATCCAGTTTAGTCAGCTTTCCTGTTTTCGGCTTTATGTTTGAAGCAGACTCTCTTGTTCCAATATTTCCCCTTCCCCCCCCCCCCCCCCCCCTATGTGCTCAGAAAGATGTTTTCAGACATGTTGATTACTGCTTGGTATCTAAAATGATCCATCTAGATCTCAGTGAAAAGGAAGGAAATCCAAAAATGCTGCATAAATGTGGAGAACATACGGTGTGATTATGAATTAAATCAAATAATTAAAAATGGGACTTTTCAATTGTGGAAGTCACTTCACAGAAGGAAAAAATATGCTGCAGCTAGAAAAGAAAAAGGAATATTCTAATAAAAATGAGAATTTTTGTATTTAAAAAGAAAAAGAAAACACCAGCTGGTTTACAGAACGATTTGAAATATGTGTGATAGTTATAAAAACAAACATCCAGAGCAGGTTCAGATTTGTGCAGATTTTCACGTGGCAGAAACAAACTGAGCAGATTACAAACGGTGGAAATCTTTCTCGATCGAATGAAGAACCGCTGTAACCATCAGCAGCATGTTTATAAACACTGTTAGAGCAGCAGGGAGGGAGGATCTGTGGAGGCGCTCCTTTGTGCATCTAGGATGAAACAGTCTGTAACCACAGGAGCTCCTGGCTCCATAACAGCTTCATGCATGAGGTGGGAAACATTGTATTGCCTTAAGAAAAAGACAAAGAAGAGCAGAAGTAGGTGGAGGAAGATGCTGCATCATATTAGGATCTATTAGGATCTATTTTTACATTTAGTTCAGGATAGTCGATATATTTATTATTTGCTGTTTATCTTATTTCCTGGAAATACCGCATATGGGGACATTTCCACACAGAAACGGGTCAGAATACGAGTATGAGAGAATGAAGAGGAGCATTAAAGCTAGTGTTGCACCGATACCGATACCTGTATCGGACGGGGCCCCGATACTGCCCTAAAATGGTGGTATCAGTATCAGCAAGTACCAACAAATAGGGCACTGATACCATTTTGAGAGCTAAAAGTTTATTCAACTATTGTCACCCACTCCTGGTAGGCAATAAAAAGTTCTACTGGATTCACTTTGTATTAGATTTTTTCCTGCTTCGACAAAGCCATGATGGCAATTATTTTACATTATTATGGTATTGGTATCGGCCGATACTGCACAGCCAGGTATCGGGTATCGGTATCGGGGCCAAAAAATGGCATCGGCGCAACACTAGTTAAAGCAAAAGTTCGGTCGACAAGGAATAATCAATGGATCATTATTTATAACTAAAACTAATAGGTTCTCGGGGATATCATGAATTTAGGGTTAATCAAGAAAAAAAAATAGTCTGGGAGCGGCCATTTTTACCCAAATATAGTAGCCCCTCCCTCCTGCCATCTTCCAGCAGTGAGGTCACGGTGCGGTAAGCCTAGCGCCATTCTCCCCCGCTTTCCAAGCTAAATCAATGGGAACTACTAGACACATCTGCAATCAACAACAATTATTGAAGATTTCCAGAGGACTTCACCATTGAAATTCACCAGAGCTATAGTGAAACTGACAATGCCCACGTGCATGGCAGCTGGATGCTGGAATACATCGGGTAAAAGATACCAATCTCCTGAGCGGCTTGCTTCTTCCTGCTTTTCTAAATCCACACACGAACCAAAAGAAAAAAGGTTAGTTCTGGTTATTTGAGACGAGTCCGGGTGCAGCCATGACAGATTTCACTGAGCTCAACCCCACAACTGCTTGGCTCTGACCTTTGGTGTTCTTTGCTGATCGGCTTCGGGCGAAACAGAGTACAGCAGCTCCACACAATAAGTCTCTCTCCTCTGGGACGCTTCCCTCAGATTTATAAGCTGCTGGCTACATTTCCCCTCCTTTTTCTGTGTCCAACCAGTACTTCATATTGTGAGAGTGCTGTTGTGAGGCAAATGCTCTGTGATAGTTTTTCTTGTTGAACTTCAGGTATTAATTTATTATAGCTGTACAGAGAGGTTTCAGCTTTTCTCCCTCCTTCGTGATGCATGTTTAATAATTTCCCTTTCTTTCTATCTTGATTAAATTGCATTGAATCAAATCATCATTATGTATCTGAGTGGGACTCCTTCTGGACGGACGGACGGATGGATGGATATAAAGGGAAGCGTGGAAATAGTATTATAGAAAAGAATCAAATCATCCACTTAACAGTAAAATTACAAACATAAAGAATTTGGAATCAGTTTTTAGGTAAAAATGTAGCTTTATTTAAATCAAATATCTGCTCTATGTCAAGATCTCACTAAATTAAAAGAAGAAGACCTGATATTTATTTCTATAATCTGGTAACTGATTTTTTTCTCCTGTTCTTTAAAAACATAGAAATAGAAAGGATGGTCTTTGTTTACATGTTTAGATGTTCAATACTCCTCAGGATTTAATGAGTGAATAAGGTGTCAGACATTAGCGGGTGTAATGACACCATAGAGTGGGAAATAATGCGTGTTGTAATGTTTTGATTCGAGCTCCATCTGTGAGGCAGTTTAAACTTTCTAAGTAGCATTTTGGATCCATCTGTTTTAACGGGCAAACAGGACAGTTTATATTATTTATATTTAAAGCATCAGAGCCATTGATGATTTAACCAGCAGACTTTTAA